ATAGATAGAAGTAGAACAGCCATATATTGGATGATCAGTTAAACCCAACCTTGTTACGATGCTTCAAGTATCACCAACACCACTGACTATCATATCACCTGCTATAACACGAACTGCAAGGGTTAAAAGGTTTGAAATTTTCTCCTCTCCTAGACGTTAACGATGTCGATTATTTTAACGATTCCACTCTGAAAACGGCTGTCGCATGAACAGTAGGAATTAAAGAATCCTGATTGTGGATCTTCTCGGAATAATTCCATGAAAACGGTTTAAGAACACTGAAAATGCGTTTCCTTCAGGACACAAATTCACAATGAAATTTTCTGTGCTGTTTGACAATATAAGTTGTTGTCCACTATCATGGAATTGCTGTCACACGTGACTTGCAGACAATCCGAAACGTCATGGTTTTCCCGACCCGGTGTTGCGTTATCAGAAGCTGTCGAGCTATGGATGATAATAAGGTGTTGTAGTTGGACCGATGTTTCTAAGCCGCAGACCTGACCTCAACTACGCCATCTGACTTTGAACACAATTGTTTACTTAATTGTTGCTCTGTTCTGCCAGCGTAGGTCGCTCCGCATCCACATCAGAAATGGTAGTTTTATTGCCATCGTCATCGTCGATGATGATGATGAGGAGGAAGAGGAGGCGAATGGTGGTGTTGGTGACAGCAGTGATGATGAACGCTTTTCCGTCGTTTCCAGCGACTAACTCCGAATTGAATGCTGACTCGTGCGTGACTAGGCCCAAATACTCACATCCTTTATCTCGTGAATAATTTAAATTTCCCATGGCTGTCTCAAATTCGTCCTCAGCCTTTCCAGTAGAATTGATTATTGTTATCAAATTGAATCACAAGTCAATCGTGAAGTAGATGTGTGTCCTCCTCGAAGAAGGTTAACCAGAACCACACTTCCCATATCTTGAGTTGTTCTGTTCATCCGAACACACGACCGAGGTTTAAAATCTTTCTGTTTTTACACTAAACATTCGCTAGTCTTACCTAGTTTGTTGTAGATTCGACGAAATCAAATAATTAGATCGGATATTTTAAATGAACAAGACAAAGTTTTCACGATTAATTTCAATATATGTAATAATAACCATAGACTACCTGACCAGTAATAAGTAATGAAAAATGTATTGTATTTTAGGTCTCATACATTTTATTGTCTAAATTATCGTATACCTCGGGAAATTGAAAATACACTACTTTATTAAATCCCTCTAGTTTTTGAAAAAAATAAATGTTAATAATAGTGCAAACGTTCATAGTATCAGACAAAATGGATCTGTGAAACTCTCAAAATAATTATTAGATGCGATTTCGAAACTTAAAGAAAGAATAAAATCCGCGAAAAAGATGCATCAAATATAGATGGATGATGTCCTTTAAACAATTAGGGTATAATGGAACAATATCGGTTGTTTTTCACTTGTGTACAGTGCACATTTTAACGGATTCCCACCAGTATTTTCATCTGATAGGGATTCGCTTCTGTCTGATAGCGAGTTACAGAAATTCATTGAACTGAGAGAAAGGACTACCTAAGTCACGAATCGATCACACGAATTGGGCACCGTAGGCTGCATTGAAAGTCATAATGGTGAAATGGCGCCTCAATACTAAATATCCGGTCTGGAAACACTTATCCATTCTGGTCTTCTACGGTTCAGTTTATAATGTTTCCAATCCTAAACGATAGCATCTTTTAAACTGTCGCCATTCTCTAAGTGCATTTTGCACAACTTGCAGCTATTTCGNCGCGGGGCACATTTCAAATATGACAAAGAGTGGTGAACAAGGTCGTTTTCACTGATTCTTAGTCATGTCAATATATCACAATAACTATCACCATATACATATATATATATATATATACATATGTATATATACATATATATTTAAACATATATATATATATCGGTACTCAACCATAAAAACCAAACAGTTGTTTTGCGAAAGGGAAAATTAACATCATAGGTTATTTCGGGCTAATTTCGTCTTGGAAGCAGACGTGGGATCCTCCATGGTCATATAATTTTTAGGTCATCCGATCGTTGAGGTTACTCGTGATAGGGGTGTAGGGATTGGGACAGGGGAGCTTAAGTGCTTGCACAAATTGATTTTGGGCACAGAGCGGGGATGTGCACATGCGAGTGACTTATTCGTTCCTGTATTTTGTCACGCGGGATGGTGTTGCACGCATTCGTTTGGACAAACTGTTGACCTTGCGGCCTATGTAGTATTACATTTTACAGATTACACAATACATTTCACATCTGTCTGATTCCAGACTGTGTGACAAACAAATCTCAATAGGACAATCCTCGTAAAGTTATTTGCTCGAGGGAATAAGTAGTATTGTAAGATTGCCCAGGGTAAAGCAAGCGAATTTTCCTGGATGATTCGTGGTTGGCGCCTTCGGATAACCAAAGCTTGACCCCAATGTCACTAGGATGGTTGTAAAAACTGCAAAGTCAAAGGTAATTTATACACTGTTACCTTCCTTTTCCCGCAGAGATTCTGTCACAGATCAGAATGGATTTTCTCACAAGCAAGCACTACCATAGGGAACTTCAGCTATTTTCACCTAAAGTAGTGTCTCAAATGAAAGTTCTGTCACTGTTCTCTCCCGTCCTACGTTTCTGACTAATGTTTAAATAAATAATATATAAATATATAGATAGTATAACTCCGGCCTGAGAAAAAACACGGTGCCAACATGCGTAGAGTGAGACTGGATTTGAGTAAAGGTGAGGGAGACAAAAATAAACAAACAGATTGTAGGGAACAAGTGTGCTTTGTTTCATCCAGTTCTTTGACTGCTTGGTGTTTGTGTCATTTCTAAAGAATGGGAATATCAACCGACAGACCGTACAACATCTGAGTCGCCGAATTCTATTCTGACCCATATCACTCAGCCTTTCTAGCCAACGAAAACCATCATCCATTAAACCCCAACCTTAATTAAGCAACGGAGGCCAATATTGAAACTTGCTTGGTCATAACCCGATGCTAGTTTATGTTTTAAGCACCACATCGCCTCTTCCAGCAACTGTAAAGATAGCGCAGAGAGATAGATGATCTTCAGTGATGCGCAAAACATGACGGCATTGTCACAGACGATGTGAAGTGAGTGCTCTTTCTAGCGAAGGCCTAGAAGTACGCATGCAAAGTAGTATACCAACCACTCCCGAGTATCGCTGCTGATCGTTTCCAAACGCCAAACAAGTGGACATGGGCCCGTCGTGTGTACAGTTCGCGGCAAACGGACGGCCGCTTTCCTATTAGCGATCTGAGTACACGCTCGGTAGCATGGAGTTTTGCTTCTCTTCCGAGCTGCTTTCAAATCGATCGGGCCCACACAGTGACAACAAAGATTATAGCTTTTCTGAACCATGGACAGCGATAATCAACACGAATGAACGAAATTCGTACCTATCCAATTTTACTAATTTTATTACAGACATCAAGTAATATCCGATTTATGAGTCAGCGAAATGGTCCGATCAAATAAATGATAAATGATGAAATATTGGAAGCGGTCACCCGAAGCGTTTTTGAAATTGCTAGTTTCAGAGGTACTTCTTTAAATGTGTTCAATGTTCATATAGTTTTGCTCGCTCCCCATATCCGACAGACCCCACAGTGATTAATAACAATCCTCTATCCAGGGTGAACTCTGTCAAATATCTTGGTATAACCATAGACAGTAATCTTCATTGGTCAACCTACATCCACAACTGCATTGGTAAACCGGAGCGCTTATCATTTCAAACACGAAAGCTCAGGAAGTTTCGTGCGTCCCAGTCAGTTATTTCTACCTTTGTTTATCAGTGTGTTTCCCCCATCTTATTTTACTGTTCCCCAGTTATTTTTCTGGTTTACTCAAACAGGATTTTAAGGTCTTACACCGCGGTCTAACCATTACTAGTCGTATCTCTTCTATTTCTGCGAATGAGTTAGCTTTAAAGCTTTCAGAGTCTCACGTAACTTCCCGTGTGAAATTTGCTAAGAGGATTCTCACAGATCTTGACCATCNGACCTGACACGTCGTCGCTCTCGTTATTCAACACGCTCCCAACTCCGTCAGATTTCATCTCGAATTACCGCTTATCGAAATTCGACTGTTCCGATTCTTGCTCGTCTACTCATAAACAACGAGCGGACAATAAGTGAACTTTGTCTTAAATTTGGATTGTGAAATGTCCCCATGCCTGTAAACCTTTTCTCCCCGTTGATTATGTACATTGTGACGGTTAGCGTGTCTGATTTTTTAACTGAGATGTGAGCTTCAGTGCTTGCAAAAGTTACACACAATACAATACACCATGACTGGTTTGGTTTTGAAAAGCTTTCGCAAATAATAAAAAGATATTACTTTCTGAGGGTGCGACAACTGGCAGACTTGAGTGTATCACACACAAATGGGATAAAATGGACTATTCATCATGGCAGAACGTATCATTTCCAGAGATTTATTCGCATTTATATTTGTACTACTCAATAGTAGTCAGATTTTTAAGCGATTTAGTCCCAATTTCATTCAACGCAAGAACTGCCCTGGTAAGAAAATTTTATATCACAGTCTATAACGACCTGGAAATAGATTTTGTTCATGCCATACAGAATGCAAATAAGATAGCCACATGCTCAGGTTGTGCTCTACTTTGAGGAGCGGTTTAGTCTTGAACACAAGGCAAATAACAGTAGTGTCACCTCAGAAGTCATTTCTGATCGCCTGCAATCCAGTTGTCGAACTATGGTCTTTTCAATAGTAATGTGGAATTCGGAATGACCAAGATAGATTCAGTTGGAACGACTGAATCTTGAACAGGCAGACAACGAAAGATTTAAAAAGGGTAAAGTTTAGTTCAACTCATAGTTGACAAATAAGACTTGGAGTTGAACAGGGAAAAAATCTATCTTCGAAGAACTCTTTTCTGACTGCGTATCGACGTATCGTTGGGTTCGGGATGTGCGTGATATTGTTTCAGAAAAATCCACCGGTGGTTTCTTGTGGCCATGGCGGATTGTCCGGTTGCTTCACATGATCAACTACACATCCAGTGTAACCTACAGTGTTTTGTTGCCTGACAAAGGGAGAAAGAATGGAAATTAGCAATGAAAACCGGAAGAAAGACTAATCGTGGTTATTCATTCAGCAGTGAAAACTGAAACACGAATGGATTTGGATTGTGTTCGTCATAGCAATTAGAATGGACCTGCTTAGCTAGCTTCAAATGTCGTCCATTCCTAAGGAGATCACCACTCGCGCTAAGTACTTTCCAACTGTATGGATGACTGGATGAACTGAGGATTGTGCGTGAAGATGAAGTCTGAAGGATGTTCAGTCCACATCAATATAACTTATCTCACACCACTACTCACGAGTAACTGAATCGGATGCGTAACTGGGATATATAATGCATCGATGAAAATATTCAAGATTTGCATGATGTCGAACCTGTTATAAGTTGGAAACCGAGGTGACAAAACTTCGCTGTTACTAATAAATATCTTTACGTAAACCAGCTTTGCTTATGTTCTGAAACAAATAAATAATTCTGTCGTCTTTCAATATCTGTTTTGGATTTCGAGCCAGTAAATCAATTTACATACATAGCCAGAGTAACGCCATGAAAACTGTTGTTGTTTTCGTCCGCTTCCAATCATCCGTCATCTGTCGAAATCTTGAACACTTTATCTCACCGTTTCTCTGAGATTGAAGCAATTATCAATTATGCCGCTTTAGTATACTTTCTGCCGGGAGACACGTCATTTGATTCCGTGTAGAATTGCACGCATTTTGCATCTGCTGAACTGTGGTCAGTTTTGATCGCAATGGACTGTTCCATCCGAGATTTTATCTCTATGGTTACCGAGTTCGTAAAGATTGCCCTACTCACACACACA